TCAGATTAGTTTCACAAAGAGCTAGGCTGTCTAGAGTGTTTCAAGAGAAATGATTTCTCACTGCAGAAATTGGTATGAATATCATGAATGTTGGAGAGGTTTAGGTGTTTGTTGGCAAACTGGTTTAGTTTTATTTGGTCATGGTATATTTTTAAAGGTGGAAAAAGCCAAGAATAATAGTAGCTGTTGGCCATCAAAGGCAATATGAGCTGGTTCGTAATTGGCACAGACTGCAGCATAGTGTAGTTTCAGTATTACCCATCAGAAGTGCCTGCAGGGACATCTATCTATGCATGGCAAGAATCCTCATATTATGCAACTTGATTAGAACAGCCTCTCTAAGCACTACCCAAAAGTTCAGGCTCCTATCAGTTGGGATGCAGCAACCAGAAAACTGCCAACCTGGTAACCTCAGTATAAAGAGTCATAGCCACCATTAAGCCATATCACCAAAAATTCCTGACAGCCACCATTCTTAAATCCTCAAGAGGAGGAACTGGAAACTCCCTCCTAAACAGGAAATAAGAGAAATCTCTACTCTTGTTCAAAAGAAGGAGAAAGAGCATGGACCAGGCAACTATTACATTAGGTTTCATTTGTAAATGAACCAACTTAACAATTTCTAAGTAGTGAACTACAAAATCAATCACTAAAGAGGATTTTTTTTTTGCAAAAAGTTCTTTATCAGCTTGTCTTTGCTTGTGCACCCTATTGATGAATGTACAGTGCTCCAAATGGTCAGCAGGTTTCAGTTCTTGTGTCAATTGAATTTTGTAAGTATGTAGAGACAAATCTTTTGTCAAAATTCAATGTTACATTGTAGTGGAGAGGTTCAATTCCTGCTCATGATGATGAATAGGTGTGTCTGGATTTTCAGCCACACATTCTCATGCACTGCAGCAATGTTTTCAGCTGAATGGTGTAAATGAGCACACAATGATGTTTTCACATCTGCCACCGACCTAGTTTGAATTCATGAACAATTTTTCCAATTGCATTGCATTAAAAAAAAACAAAAAAAAAACAAAAAAAAAAAACGCTTAAACTTAATTCACATTTAAAATCAGTCCAAGTTATTGAAACACCCTATATAAGGATGTGCATTGTAGTGTAATAGATATCAGCTCAAAATGAGAAGGAGAGTAGAGCTTGAATTCCAATCAGGTTCATTAAATTCACATGCACAAATACCCCCTAGAAAAGGTATTAATCCATCTCTTCTCTTCCTATCACCATGGCAACCTACTGTGGAGAAATGTTCTGCCTGATCAGTCATGAATCAAGAGAGACATGACCACCCAAGCGTGTATCACATATATATGGCACTTAATTGACTGAGTATAAGTCAATATACAAATAAAATAGAGAAATAAACCAATGCACAAACTTAGTTCAACGTGATTTAAGAATCAGGTTTGGGTCCCCCACCAGATAAAACAAAACTTAATCTACAGGTTATGATCTCATAATCTAGCCATAGATAAATCACTAACAGTTTATATGTCAGCTTTTAATAACTTGAAGTAATTAGAGATGTAATCAAGGTCTCCATTATCATAACAATATAGTTTAATCCTACCATAAAAGCAGCATGAACAAAGAATTACTGACCTGACCCACTTCAAAATATGACAAAACATTTTTTTTGGGGGGGGGGATTTCTTGATCAGAGAGAATTTGTCAGCATCTCTTTATACTCACTTTTATAAATTAACTATTGATAACTCAAGTAAGCATTCTTTTCCATTATCCAGCTGTCATAAATATAACATTCTGTAAGTGCCCAAGTAAATTTTAAGTTAACAATGAATGTTAACACAAAAATAGGGTACAATAAACTTGTTTTACTGATCCATTTGAAATTGGTTTATTTTTTAGCAAATAGCATTGGCAGAAGGTTATTATCAGTGTGAACAAATGTGACGCATGGACTGGCAGATAACAGTCAAATCACAAGATTTGTGTGTTCTGTACACATGAATACAGATTATTTTTGTTTGATCCTTCAAGTTAGGATCTTTATTAAACCAGGACAGCATTCATAAAAATGGTAGTTTAGCAGAAAAGTAATATGGATTTGAACTGCATAAAAGAAGAAATCTTGGGTGATTACTTTCCTGTAATACATTCAAATTGAACTTAAATTTTAAAACTCTAAAAGTATTTTAGAGAAAGCTGCATCAATAAATATATATATATATATATATATATATATATATATATATATATATATATCTCATGCATGCACAATTACAAGAGTAGGAAAGACTATTCTAGTGGTTGGTCATAAAAGTCCAACTTCTTGTTTAGCAATCCAGGAGTGCAGTAGCTATAAACAAAATCTCAAACTCATTGGCTTGCACACTTTTTTTTTTTTTTTTTTTTTTAACAGCTTTCAATCAATAGAACAACCCAAACAAAGGGAAAAAAAGATTAAAATAACAGATTAAGTAAAGCTCATTGTAATCTGTACTGAAATAGAACAAGTTTTGTGTCCTTTTTATAGAGTAAGTTAAGTAAATAAAAAGTAAAATAAAAATCTACTTAAAGCTGGACTTTTCAATTTTTTGGTTTGCACCAAGAAATGGCTATATTGAAATGAAATATGTGGAGGCTTAGATATGTCTGCAGGTAACAATGTTCTCATATCTAAAGTTGAACATGTATTTAGCAAACTTATCCAAAGTGTAGATCACTGATGCTACAGGGACACTTCACAAAATTTACATGACCTATTTATGAAACAATTACTTATAGAAGGTAAATGAAAGAATAAATTTCCTGTCAATACTTTCAAAGTAAGCCATCAGTTGGGGAGGAGGGGAGTTTAGCTTCATGCTAATACAGATCACACGAGTAGGTTTCAAGCTAGGGATTAGATAGCAGTTCTTAGGATTGAAAGGTTAATACTGTGACATTTCAATAGAACATGTTAGGATGAAGAATATGACAAGTAGAAAATATCAACCGGCGGAGGGGGGGTGGAGAGAAAAATAGTAAATGTTTATAGGTTTATGCAACTAATTTGTTGCATAAAAAAATGCATAGGCAAATGACAATGCTGGAAATTACCTTGATGCCAAAATGGTACTGTAGAAAATTCTAAAACAGTTTATTTAATTCAGATTTGTAATCAAAATAGTTATAGGCAATAATCTTTGTCCCAAAATAGGGGGAAGAGATATGTAGAAAAAAAAGAAAAAAGAAAAAAAAATTGGTTGATTGGATATTTCAAATTTTGATTATTTCAGAAAGCTCAATAGGATTGCATTGGAAAGAGAAAGCCATTATAAGCAAATCTTCCAAATCCATTGACTTGAAATTACAATATAGCATTGTCTATATTTTGTAGCAAAGACATTTATCAATAAAAACTGAAACAGATAAAAGATATGTAAAAGAAAGTCTCAAAATATTAGATCATGCTATACTATTAGAGTTATAGAGTTTAATTTTTTTGTCAAAAGCTCTCAGGTTTCCAAATCTATGCAGTATTTACAGAATGCAAAAGATAAGCACCTGCAACAATGGTCAGTGCATTCGTGTAGAAAGTTATTTACTTGCAAGATAATTCCTTGCAAGTTATTCTCAGAATGCGTGACACTAAATTGGTTCAATCCAGTCAGTATCTATAACGCAGAGAGGAATATTTCGAGAAAAATGCTCATATCATCTACTTGCATGGAAAAAAAAAAAAAAAAAAAAAAAAAAGGATTTAATAATTGTTCAGTGTGTATGGAATGGGTGTGAGGGAAGTCAGCCCCAAATTTACTCATGTGCAAGTGTTATTTTTAATTTATTTCTGCAGTTATTTTACATAAGGGTCTGCCTAGCAGTATAGATTCATTATTCATGAGGAAATAAAAGCCTACACTGTATCATTACATTCAATATGCTATGGCTTATAATATATAGTAGTTCAAAATAAAGTAAGGGTAACTGCTCCTTTTCAACATTAAAGGGGGGGTGCTATTTCTGCATCTCCAATATTAAAACCAAATATATTAGCAGCATTTGCTAAATTTTAATTTTAGCCTCTTGTTACTTTGCTTAAACTTGTCATTAGAAATAAACTGTATCACCAGATATTCCTTTCAGTAATATATTATTAATAACACCTGATAAAAATACAACTAATTTTTTCATATGTAAAATGATTGTTTATTCACTTTTGGATTGTCAAATTAACATTGACCAATTAAGAGGCATTTGCTTTTCATGTCTTTCTTCAAACATTCAATCTTATGATAATGCGATTGATCTTGCCATCCCTCTCAGAAGTTGATCATTTAACTTTGTTATCCAGTTGTCATGTGCCCTAAGTCCAGTTGGGTTAACTTCCTGTTTATGTTGGTTAACACACACCACCCTTTGAAACCCAATTCTGCACTTTGTAGCGTTGAGGTCACCTAAATTAACCCTCGAGGCACATAACACACTGAAGTGACACCAAGTACAGAACTTGTTTCAGCACCTCAAGGTCACCACAGATCAACTCTTTGATGACATTCCTGATATACATTAATTTTCATTTCACATTTCTGGTATTTCCTAGCATGAATCACATTACAGTAATAATTGTATGAAACAACACTGTATTTATCATTAAATATGTAGTTACATAAACAGGTATTAATAAAGATTCATAGAAGTAAAAACAAAATTTCTTAATAGTCTGTCACTACTCATTTTAGTTTAACACTGCTATCCCCTAATGGAATAGCAAAGTGGAGAATAATTAAGATTATCAGAAGTGCCATGGTGGTGGCAGCAAGTGGAGGGGTGAGGGTTTAAAAAAAAATTGCCAGTAACAAAATTTATGTCACAGTTTTAAATCGCTACAGAAGAACATTAATATCCATAAAAAATTCTGTATACATTTTACTTAAAATATGTTGACAATATACAGGACCTTCAAAACTAAAATCCAGTATGCTATATAATAATTTAAGAAAGGAATGATAAAAAAAAATTATTGAATTAATATAAAATATACTTACAATTGGAGCAAAGCTCCATTGGCAATGAGTTTTCATTACCCTGAAAAATAAAAACATGCATTAATATCATTTGTAAATTTATAAACACAAATCAAACATAAATAAAATCCAATATTTATTTTTAAATCTTATATTTACTGTTCATTAAGTATAAATTTATTAAAATATCTAAACATCACAATTTGGCTCATATGTTGGTATTATGAAAAGAGGTAAAATATGGAAAGCTCAAGCTGTCTCTATAGTATGTAAGGCCAATTTGTGTACAGTAGTCAAAACAAAAAGAAGTCAACATTATCAGTTGAATAATAATGTTTTGTTTAATCCATTGTCATGGACTAACAAGACTACATTGATCTAACATGGTACACAGGGCAGACTGCTTCTAGTATTGCTGTGTAAATCAGATGGATGATAGAAAAAAAAAAAAAAATCCTGGTATCTTGAAAGGTACACATCAATGAGTAGTGGAGGTGTATGTATTTAATATTTTTTTTTAATGTTTACAGAAGATAAAGAACTACTTTAAATAGCAGGTGTGACATCCTAAGAGAGATATAGACGTTAGGTTATGTGGAATAGAAAACTAAAAAGAAACATGACAAATTACCAAAGATAAACTATTAAAAAACAATAGTTCTACAGTCTCACTATTAGAAAACACTGCTAAACCTTAAATAAGAGTCTGAGTCAAATATCAACACATGCAATGATAGATTATACTTTGAATATTTTTTGTTTTCCTTATCATATCTATTGACACCACTTAAATTTATAAACATCTCATGGGATAGCTGAATAGATAAACAAAACCAGATATTACTTACAATAAGAAGTTATTCACATAATACACCTTTTCCTCAGGTTTTATGCTAAAAAACTAAATACTGTTTTTAGCCAGATGTGTCACCATATTGAAGTGATTATGACAAAGTTGTGTCTATAATCCAAACTAAGTAATGAATAACGTAGGGGAAAAAAAAAAAAAAAAAAAAAATATTAAGCACATTTCAGTGTATTTCACTGACATGTCATACAGAGATGACATGACAATTTCATTGATGCTGCTAATATAGTAGATGCCCTAGTTGTCTGCAATGTTATCATCCAAAGAGTCATCTTGTTTCTTCCTCAAAAAGGAAGTCAACTTCACTGAATGGCTTTGCCACAATGGTGTAAGGAATGCACTGTTAGGATTTTAATATCTATGTACATTAAATGGAAAGCTCTGATACACAAATGCAGCCTGTCAAAGCGAGTGACAGGTATCCTTGGTGTGAACAAGCAAATGGAAGATTTATCGAAATTCCTATTTGGAGTGGTATTATAATTGGCTGCTATTGACCAATAAAAAGGTAGAAATTTTCTAACCTCTGTAGCGACTTAGTAATGTCAATTTCACATCACTACATAGATATAGCCACTCACTGGAATGAGTGTTTATATTTATTTATCCTCGGTGGATTGAGGGGGGGGATTTATATATATTATATATATATATATATATATATATATATATATATGAGAGAGAGAACCATGCAGTTTACAAGTTTTAGTACAAAATTTATTACAATTTCAAGAATAATACCTGGTTTTACAGTCGCACGTTATCTTTATAGGAAATCTCAATAATAAAGACTTAATGAGAGATTATATTAAGAGGAAATGAGACTTTAGAAAAAGGTTACAAATTTAGCTTGTGAATCTTGCAATCTTCAGATTGTTCTTACGTCAATCATTTATTAATTTAACTAGAAACTATAAAATGTAAATAAATAAAAAGAAATTCAAATAGACCGATATAAAAGTTAGGAAAACTAATGTTAAGTCATTTTAAGTAATACTAGATCTGTGCAAAAAGTTCCAAGTACCTTCCTGTTGAAAGGACAAGAAACTGAATACTCAGTTGAAAACTGGATTTGAACAGTTTTCATAGAGTATTCAGTTTCTTTTCTCTGTGTGTGTGTGTGTGTGTGTGTGCACGGGGGGGGGGGCGTATAGAACTTGTCAGACATGATATACCAGTGACATTGAAGGTTTTAAAAAAAAAAAAAAAAAAGTCAGAAAATGTTTCATATGAATTATCAGAATGAAACTGTTGCATCACCTACATTTCACTTACCAGCCATGAAGCTTATTTTTTGCTAAATATATCAGTGGGAGATGAAAAATGAATAATGGGAAACACAGAAATCATGGGTGAATTCTGGACAATCTGCAGCATCAACAGTAAAATTTAACATTTTTGGAAAAGTTTTTGCTCTATATTCATACATGGAATATAAATTTTACTGAAATCTGACAACTGTCACCATAGAGTATTACTATTACTTTTAAAGTTTGAACTTTGTGACTGAAGAAGGGATAAAAGACTATTTACAGGACAGGGAAGTCAAGAAGTCATACTGTTTCATGATAACTTATTCCCATTATTGCTTTGTCAACCAAGAAAATAAGAGTCATGAGAGTTATTTTTTTTTTTCTCTCAGGCATCATATTTAGACTGCTATTGGATTATCATTTGTTCCAGCCAATGCATCATATATATTTTATATAAAAAATTTGAAAGTCTTCAAAATTTGTGACAATATTATTGCATTAAACCCAGTGCTCATTTACAAAAATGGAACTTGAAATGTCAGAAAGCCAAGAATATTTTGATGGACAATGAACAAGGTGTCCATAAAGTCAGTGTGCAATTTAAAATACTTTTAGCTTTGTAACTATGCACAATATAAACAATCTGTAAAAAAAAAAAAGAGAAAGTGAATGAAAGCTTAGTAAGCCTAGACTTTCTTGTCTTCAGAAAAAAGTATTTGTTTTACCTATTATTTTTTTTCAATTTCTTGAAACTTCAAAATTACTTTTGCAGAATTGCTGTTGAGTCATAGCTTAACTAGAAGTAAATTGTTCTTTGGTTGGTTGAGATAAAATCTATAGTAACTGTCCAGAGAAGATTTAGAACTCATGATAAAGAAGCACCACACAAGAATATGTAACTGGGTGAAAAGATTTAAAGAAACAGTTTCTGTCAATGGTAAGCCAGTCTATTAGACCATGTGTTAGTGAAGAAACTAACAGTCTTAGAACAAGTCTTTGTGGGAATCCAAGAAAAACATTAAGACAGGCATCTTTAGAGAGGAGCCTTTCAAAATCTATTGTGCATAAGATTCTATGGACAAAACTTCACATGAAAGCATACAAAATCAAATTGCACCAAATGTTGTTAGAGGAGGATTATCATGCATGACTAACTTTCTGCCATCAGTTTAATAAAAGAATATTGAATATTTATTTTTGAATAATTTAATGTTTTCCATTGAAGCAACATTCCACATTAGTGGCAAGATCAACAGGCATAAGTGCTGTATTTGTGAGACTGAAAAGCTACTAAAAGTTAATTTTTAGTGTGTTTTTAGGAAAAGAAAAAATGTTTCAAGTGCAAGTTAGCCAGTTTGTAAATGAAGAATTTCTAACAGGTAGATTGGGAGAGGTGGACCATTATCTTGGCCTCCACCATCAGATTTGATCCATTGAATTTCTTTTTATGGGGACATATGAAAAGTAATGTTTATTCAACTAAGTATCAATCTTTAAAGAAATTGCAAGCTAGGATGATTGATGTACTTGAAGGTATTACAGAAAATCAGCTGCAAAATGTTTTCCTAAAACTACAGAATTGCATTACCTTTTGCATAATGATAGTGGGCATATTGAAAATTAACAATCCCATAATAAATTTAAATACTTATCCCTTTTACAGATTGTTTCTATCATGCATAGTTACAAGCATTTTAAATTGCACAGACTTTATAGAAATCCTACATGTTATTAACTAATTTTAAAAAAATAAAAACTTTTGCACAGAAATATAGATTTAGCAATAGCACTATTCCATTTTTTTCTATTGACATGTAAAACACTTTATAACATTAAATTCTTACATCACATGCCCATTTATTAAACAACAACAAATTAACAAAAGGCAAGTATTTGCAAAAAAAAAAAAAAAAAAAAAAAAAAAAGCTGGTCTGTCATTTTAAAGGTGATACAAACTGGTGTCAAAGGATCAAAATTTACAATTTCATTACAGATTGTGCCAGGCAGTGTTATGAAAAGCATGTCACACCCAGTTCAGGAAGCATTCTCTACCTTGACTACACATACACGTACACACAATTTGACAACCTACCATCCTCCTGTAATTCCAGAGCAATTTGTGCTTCTTTTCAGTAAGTTGACAGCAAAAAAGTTAATATGAGAAGCCTTCCAGCAAATGCCTAGAGACCAAAAGATAACAGCATTTTATGAGGGGATTGTTAAGCATGAAGAGAAATGTTGCTGCAAACCAGTTTGGTGAGTAGATTTCCTCGCTAAAAGGATATGGGTAGAGAAGTAAGCATGAAATAGATCAGGAACAGAAGCATATTGCTTAGGCAAAACCCATCAACTGCACATCAGCCTTTAAAATAAGCAGCACAACACACAAAAAAAAAAAAAAAAAAAAAAAATGAGAGAGAGAGAGAGTCAAATTTCTGAAGATGCATCCCAGGTGTATCTTTGCTTCCTAGAAGTTGTGTGGGTTGATTTTGGTTGTAGAATTTTTTTTCAACATTCTCATAGAGGGGGAGGAGAGAAAAAATTTAGACAAAGTACTGTAAAATGAAAATGTAGAAAAAAATAAAAATAAACCAACACATAACAAATAGGTTTTGAATTACAAACTGAAGTGAAATAGAGTTAACCATTATTCTAATGATAGAGGCATTATAGACATAACTGACAGTATTTCCTTTAATTATGAATATAGTTAAGATTGTAATTTTCATGAAAGTTTTAATCCTTTTCTTTGGAAGTTCTTTTAGAAAATAAAAATAGAGGATTTAATTCTCACAAATGTGCTTACTTGCTTATTGCTAATAGATTCTAGGCTTGGTAATTACTTTTTTTTATAAAAGAATCATTTGCAATATATAACTATAAACATCCATATACCAGGCTTGCCAATATTTAAAGAATACAAGGCAGTAGGACAACTAC